GGAGTCCCCGTCCCTGGAGGGGTTTGAGCAGAGCCTGGATGTGGCATCAGTGCCATGGGCTGGGTGACAAGGTGGGGTTGGGTCAAGGGTTGGACTCAATGACCTCGGAGGTCTTTTCCAACCCAGTTAATTCTAGGATTCTATGATTTAGCAGCTGAGCCTGTCTCTGCCACCAGCCAGTGTGTGCCAAAAATTCAGCTCTGTGTCACCACCTGGCACCGACTGACAGTGCCAGGACATCGTGCTCATCTTCAGGTGGTTTTGGGAGCCCCAAAAACAGCCTCTGTGTCTGTGGTACAGCCTCCAGTCTCTGTTGACACGCTATTTCTGCGCGCCACAAACAAACCCTTCCTGTTTGCAAATCAACAATATCAATGCTGGCTATTTTTTACCTTTTAATTAAGGTTTTATTTTGTTATTTATTTAACAAACACATCAGTGGGTAAAAGAGGCAGGTAATGACTCAGTGTGTAGTGCTCCAGTGCTTATGTGGATTGATTTTTCAAAAATAAGGCTTTTATACCACTTACTTGGTCTATTTAGCAGGACTGTGTGTGCACTGCCTAAATAATACTCCATATATTGCTTTTTTTAAAGGGATGGAGCTTGCTTTCTAATAATGAAGTCATTTGCACGGGTAGATGTTCACATTTATTTTCAATTTGAAGGGGGTGGATGCATTTTCACCACCTTTCAAATACCATCACCCCACTAAGGCAGACTTTCAAATGAATTCAGAGCCAGACTCCTCGGGGATCAGCGTGGGGGAAAGTGTTTAAAAGCCTCCAGTGGAACAATTTTCTATTGGAAATGAGATTTCGCTGTAGATAAATTTCCCACGAGAATCCCTTGATTTCAACACCCTTTTGGCCAGAGAAACAAACTGCAAACAAGCCCTCTGCCAAGGGGAAAACCTTCTTATGGGGCATCACGGAGAGGAAAAGGGAAATATTTCAGCTTTGGAGCTATTTTCCCTTCGAAATGACTTGCAGGGGTGCTAAGATGGGAAAGGCTGATGCACTGAGGGCATTCCTGGAGGGAGAGCCCAGCCCAGGGGGGATCCCAGCCCCATCCAGCCTGGCTGCTGTGGGTGCTGGGACAGATGCAGGTGTGGCACCTGGATGCCAGTTGATGTTCTTTGGCCTCGTGTGGAGTGTTTGTCTTCAGCAGAGCTTGGTTTGGCACGGCAGCACCCACACCCCTGCCCCAACAGGAGGATGCTGGGCCCCTGAGCGAGGGGGGCAGGACCCCCTGGTGTCCCCCCCGGGTGTGCCAGGCTGGGGGTGGCCCCGTTTCAGGGTGGCAGCAGGCAGGGAGAGGCGTTTCCAGCCTCCTGCCCCCTCCCCATCCCCAGCCGGCCAAGCAGAGCTATTTCAGGAGGATAAACAGGATGCCTCGCTCCCGGGCTGGCCACCTCCATTCCTCCCTCCCACAGCCCTCCAGTAAACAGGCCAGCCCAGGAAAAGCCTCCCGGCACAACCCCAGAGCCCAGAGCGAGCCAAGCAACCTGGCCACAGCTCAGCCGAGCTTTGCCCAGCCCAGCCCAAGCTTCCAGTGGTCTGGAAGCATCCAGGGAAAGCAGAGCGATCCCAAAGCACGGATCCACCTCGGCAGCGACTCCCTGGAGCCGCCCCGCAGCTGGGAACCGCTTGAACTTTCTGGTCACACCACCACGTCCTCCTCCTTCCTCCTCCTCCTCTTCCTCCCTCGGTCACACCCCGGCTGCTCGCTGTGCCCGGGGTCTGGGAATGACACCGGCCAGGCCTTTCCTTCGGCGGGATCGTGCCCAGGCAGCGCCGGAGAATCCTGCGAGGGCTGTTTCCGCCTGTTGCTCTTGGGAAAGGAGCTGCAGCACCAGCGGGAGGAAGGTGGAGCTTTTCCCCGCTTCCTCCAGCTCCGCAGCTCCGGCTGCTTCCTGCCTCGGGTCGGCGTGTCCAAGGAGACTTTGCTGGATCGGTGATCCTGGGGAGATGCCAGCCCCCATCCCGGCACAGCGGAGCCAAACAGCTCTTGGTCTTAAATCTGTGGCCGGAGAGGGTTTTAAGTCAACTTGAGTTCTTCCATCCCATTTTCCCACAGGCTGGGGAGGGACAGGGGCCCCGCGCCGGCTCCCACGGCTGCTTTTCCACCTTGGCACTGCAGGAGCAAGGTCAGGGCGGGAGGCCCGGGGTGTGGGCACAGGTAGGACAGAGCCCGGGTGTTGCAATGCCGGGAGTGGAGGATCCCGGTGCCAACACGGAGCCGGTTTTCCCGGCGGCAGCGCCCGCCGTGGGACCCGCCGTGGGACCCGCGGGTGTGCGGGGGGACACGCGGGGCTGTGCGGGTCCGGGGGAGAGGACACGACACATCCCCCCCCCTCCAGCCTCCCCATCCCCCACCGAGCAATTAGAGCGGCTAATTACCCGGCGGGGGGACCCCCGCGCCCCCCCAGCGCCGGTGCCGGGGGCGGCGGGCGGGACGCGGGGCGGTGCGGGAGGAGTGGCCGGGGGGGGCCGTGGGGCGCCGCGCTGCCGGGCCGCCCCGGGCGCTGCCTTCCTCCTCCTCCTCCTCCTCCTCCTCCTCCCCCCTCTTCCCTCTTCCCTCCTCCTCCTGCCGCTCCTCCCGCCGCCCGGCCCGGCCCGGCTCCGCTCGCCATGGGAGATGTGGTCTCCACGCACCTGGACGAGGGTCGCCGCCAGCACATCGCGGGTGAGCCCCGGCCGCGCCCCCGCTCCCCTTTTATCCCCGCCGCGCTCTCCCCATCCCTCCTTCAATCCCTTTGGGAACCCCCCCAACAATATTCCCGGGACTCCCCCTCCTGCTCGTGCCCTCTCTCGCTCTTCAAACTTCTTTATTTTCCCCGTTTCCGCGTGGTTTTGCCCGGGCACAGCCCGGGGGGCTCAGCGACGGTGCCCGAGGTACCCGCCAGGCTCCCAAGTGAAGGGCTGGGCTGTGCCGGGGGTGTTTGTGTTCGCTCTGGGGGCCGTGTCTGCGCGCGAAGCCCCCCCGGGATGCGGGGAGGGGAGAGGGGAGCTCTTCGGGGGATGCTGGAAGCCGAATCCGGTCGGGAACATTGCTGTCAGCGCGGCGACTGCTGGGGCTGGCTGGCAACTGAGTCTTCTCCGCCTTTCCAGGGCTGGGAGATCCTTAGGGAAGCCCCCCCGCCAAAGGTTCTGGGGTGGAGGGAAGGACTGGTTGCCCTCAGCCTTCCCGGCACAGGCAGGACACAGCAGTGCCCCCGCCACGGCCGTGGGACGGGGCAGGGTGACAATGTGGTTATTGAGAGCCCGTCTGTCCCGGGGCGGCAGCGCCTCGCCCCTGGCACGGGATGTCTGGCCAGAGCCGCCTGGGAACCGCGGGACGTGGGATTATGGCTCTGCACAGGCAGGGGTTGTTCGAAGCAACGGCTGGGGAGGGGGGGTCAGAGATGCTAATTGAGGCCTGCGGGGACTCGCTTGACCCCTGTAAGTGGGGTCACCCCTCTGTCGCGGTGCCGGGCTCCCCCGAGCCACCTCGCGGCACTGGCGGTGCGGGCGCTCGGCTCCCCGGGGCTCCCGAGCGGGCAGGACGTGACCTCCGAGCCCTTTCATGCTCCGGCTTTGCTTTCAGCTCCCCGGGCTGGAAAACCCCCTCATGTGCAGTGGGCGAAGCCACCCGCCCACCCCGCGGAGCCACACCTGAGGCGGGTGCCGGCACCGAGTGTGGCTCCCTGCTGGACCTTGTGCGTCTCGCCGGGAGCTCAAAGCCTCGGGAGCGCCGGTGTTTTGGAGGTGGCTCCACCGTATCATTGCTCTGTCTCGGCCATAAAGCCGCGGGAGTGGCTCTGGAGTCCTTTTGTCCCCAAGGGCTGTGGGGGAAAAGCTGCTGCTGGTGCTGCTGGAGCAGAGCGGTAGAGCTGCCGCGGGACTGGCACAGTGTCTCTCGGAGGAGCCCCTCGGCCCTGCCAGCCCCCGCCGTTCCTGGCAGGAATGCTTACGTGGTATGCGGCTCAGCAGGACGCCAGCAGGTTTTTGAGCTTTGAAGGAGAGCTTGGAACTCGCTCTGGGGTTTTCTCCTTGCATTAGTTAAAGCTCAAAACACGGCTTGTCCGTGAGGCTGCACCAGGCCAGGGCTGCCCACGGCAGCAACGTGTTTGGATCCAAAGCACATCCCGAATTTCCCTTTAACTTGCCGGTTCTCTGTGCAGAGATAGCTCCCTGTGCGAGCCCTGCGATCCTAATCCTGAAGAATAACAAGGAAAAGCCCTGTCTGGGTTTTCTGTGCAGGAATCTGACTCTGCTGGGTCGGGAATTGGGTGTTTGCAAGGCCAGGCTGGATGGCTGAACCCTGGCGGGGACTGAGCTGTTACCTCAGGGGGGGGTTTCAGCCCATGGGCAGGGGGGCTGAAAAGTGGAAAAAGTGGGAAAAAGGTTTAATGGGAAAAAGATTTAATGGGAGAAAGATTGCTGTGGAATAGGATGATGGAGATTGGGCTGGGACGTGTCCTGGGCCACGCTGCAGCCCTGAAGGTTTGGAGTGAGCAAGGGGGACACACACCTGTACTGGGACACCTCCCTGGGAGAGACTGGAGCAAACTGGGTTCCTGGAGCACCTCTCAGCTCTCTGGGTGAGGAGCCCCTGGAGCTGGGAGGGGCCGTAACCCAACAGGCAAGGCACGACTTGCTGTCAGGCATGCAAAGCAACGTGGCGGGGAAAACTCCGGGTTTTCCTGCCTAGATCAGCCTGTTCTCCACTGCTGCAGCTCCAGCTGGCGCCCAGGGAGCGATCCAACCCCTCTCCAGGCAACTTTTCCCAGTTGTCCTCCCAACTTTGGGGAGTTCGGATGTGCTGCCTGGGCTGCCGTGGCCCCTGATTGCTGGAGGGAGCTCTCTGGGGTTGGTGGTGCTTCCCGAGGTTGGAGCCCCCGGAATTTCTGGGGAGAACCTGGGCCAGACCTTTCTCCCTCCTGGGAATGGAGCACTGCAGCTGGATTAAAGGCAGGAGGGAGGTGGGAAAAGCCCTCCCATCAGATCCAAGCTGGGAAGGTGCCATGCCCTGTCCCAGCCCCTGTGCTGGTGGCTGATGCCAATGTCTCCCAGAAGCCGTGGGCCACACGTGTGTCACTGGTGTGTTGGTGGCTCAGGACCAGGGTCTTTCCTCCCACTGGTGGGACTGGATCCCTCCAAGCAGGTGTGGAGGCAGCAGGGATGCTGCTCTGTGCTGGGGCTGTTGGGGCAGCTGGGTGTGATCTCCACCTGGATGGTTCTGGCAGAGCTGCCTGCAGCTCCTGCATCCCGTTCTCCAAGGTCTCTCTATGACCAGTGTTTCCTTCTACCTCCCTGCTTTGGATATCTTCCCAGCCTGAGTCGTCCAGTCTGTTTGTCAACACCCTTCAGCTGCCCTCCTCCTCCTCCTCCTCCTCCTCCTCTTCCTCCCAAATGGGGGCTGGGAGTCGCTTCCAACCTGCTGTGTGAGCTGGAGCAGGGAATGGCTCTGCATGGGCACCATCACCTGGGGACATCACCTGACATGCACAGGGCGTCCTGCCAGGGTTCCTGGGAAAGCTCTCCTGCCAGGGTTCCTGGGAAAGCTGAGATGTCACGAGGTGACCTGGATTTTTGCGCAGTGTCCCCTCCTGTCCAGGGAAGAGACAGTATTCCCTCCTCCCAGTGCTCTCAGCGTGGAACTGGATGAAGCTGGAATAACTCCATCCCTAGGGCATCCCAGCCCCACGGACCCCTTCTCCAGGGGGATGAGGTGAAGCAGGACTGGCAGGACCCGGGTGGCTCCGTCCTGGGCACCTGGTGGGTGTGAGAGCCCAGGGATGCAGCAGGAGCTGCCGGATGTCTCCGTGGCCAGAGGGATGTGGGGGTGGGTGGCAGCACAGGGAGGGTCCCTGGGAGCTCACACCTTGTTCTGGCAACTCCGGGGAGTCGCCAGCCCGTTAATTACAGAGTAAAGCAGCTGTTAATTTTGGGGTGGGACTTCCACAGCCAGCAGCCCACGCGGTGGTGGCAGAGGTGACACTGAGCCTCGTCCCCGGGGCCGGACCTGCGGCATTTCCGCTCCAACGAGCCTTGTCAGGCATCGCTGGCTGCACATCCCTGATCCCACCCAGGAGCACTCTCCTGCTGCCTGGGTGCTGCTGGGATGGGCCGCGGGATCAGATCCAGAGGTGCCCGGCAAATGCCAGGAGGTGCCGAGCTGTGGTGTGCCACAGGGATGGAGGCTGCTGGCAGCGGGGAGAGGTTTGCTGTGGCTTCCCTGAGCGTGCCACTCATTTCCCGGCCTTGGCCACAGCTCCAGCCGGCGTGGGAGGCGGAGGCTGCCGGCGCTGGGCTCTGGGGTGGGTCTGGAGGCTGAAACCTCGCCCTGCCCCCGGGGAGGTGGTGCAGGGAGGCTCCGAGGGATCGCGCCGGAGACCTGGAGTGGTTTCTCTTAGCGAAATGTGTGTCTTCTTTCATGGTGAAATAAAGAACTCCCCTGGCATGTCAGGGCTCCCTGCCAGCGGGAGGGGCTGGTTCTGGCAAGCCGAGGCTTTACCTGCAGCCGTCGTGTCGGGGCACGGGGCTCTCTCAGAGCCAGCGTGTTGGGGCAAGGGGACATTGTTCTGGTGGCCTCCCCACGTGTGCAGGCAATAGGAGCCCTCCCTGCCCTGCCCGTGCTCAGCCCCGGGGGCAGAGCCTGCCTTCCCTCTGGGAGGGCTTTCCCTGCCTCCCCCAGCGAGGGTTTATCCAGAGGCCTTGCCTCGGGCAAGCTGGGGCAGGCACGGAGGGTATCCCTGCTCTGCCTGGGACAGGAGGAGCAGAGCTGGCACTGCAGCTGAGAGCTCTTTTTGGGCTCCTGGCTCAGCCCAGGGAGAGAGAAGCACCCACAGACCAGGAGAACCCCACGGCAGTATCAGACACCCCTAAACCCACTGCAGGGACCCAGCGAGGGAAGCACAGCCAGGAGCTGGAATTTCCCAAGCCTTTGCCTCCCTGCTTCCCTCAAATCACTGCAGAGGCTGGCTCGGCTCAGAGGGGCTCGGTGCCTCTTGGCACAGCCCTTGCCAGCTCTGTCCCACCCTCCTTGGATGGGCAGGCTCCTGTGTGTCCAAGCTTTCCAGCAGGAAGAACAACTGGAGGGATCCAAGGATGCTGATCCACAGGCAGTTGCTGCAATGTGAAGAGAGGTGAGGCCCAGCTCTCCACGACAAGGCTGAGCACCCTCTCTGGCCCTGCAGCACCCAGGTCTGACCCCACCACCCAGTTTGTAGGAGGTGTCACCTCACCCTGGGGCTGCAGCTCCTGGAACCCGGCTGGTGCCTGGCAGTGAGGTCCCTAAGCAGGAGCTGTGTCCCCTCCCCAGCCCCTGGCTGGCCCTGGAGCCTTGTCCAGTGCCTGGATGTGCTGCACTGGCTCCATGGAGAGCCCAGTGCCGGGGACCAGGAGGGGAGGAAGGGGCAGAGCAGAGCTTCCTCCCAGTCTCTTGGACTGGAGAGGGAGGAAGGAGTAAAACTCCACCTTTTCCCCTTTTTCAAAGGGAAAGGGCAGCGACATTTGACACAGGTCCCAGCTCTGACTAGCAGAGCACAGTGCCTTTCTCTGTGCCCTCCTGCCTTTCTCTGTGCCCTCCTGCCCTTCTCTGTGCCCTCCTGCCCTTCCCTGGCAGGGATCTGTCCCTGCCTGCAGCCTGGCTCCCAGCTCTGCTCTGGGGAACTCAGACCCTTCACTACAGGAGTCCTGGAA